ATATATAAAATACTCTTATAAGAATTTTTTTAAAATATTATCACAATAAAATATATTTAAATGCAATATTTTGCCAAAAAATGAACTTAGAATTACTGTTTTTTAAAGCTTTCTCCTTTTATGAGATATGCTTTCATAATAATAATATTTTGCATATATATAGCTAAGTCTTCTTCAGAGGGTCTGAACCACGATTTTGAAAAATTCAAATTTATTTCAAAATTTCCAATTGAAGTAATGATCAGTAGTTTTATGTTATAATTTCTCCTATCTGATGCATTAAAATATGGATAAATCCACTTCTTAATAATATATTTCAAAAATCCTAGTTCTGGCTCTGCACAGAGTTCTGAGTTATATATAGGCAAAATATTATTATTACGAAAGCACCTTCCATAAAAGAAGAATATTTGGAAAATAAATAATTCATAATACAATTCATTTTTGGCAAAATATTTTATTTAAATCATGTTCAATTGTGATAATATTCTTAAAACAATTTCATACGTGTATACTAATCTAAGTGACCCTAAATATTAAAAAAAAAATATTCGTTTGTACGCTTTTGAAAAATCACGGTTCAGATAATGTATGACCTTGACGGTTCATTCAGTTCATCGGCTTTCAAAGTCCATTTGGAAAACCAAACATACTTCCGTCGATCCCAATGGTGTTCAACTGGACCCCGATTGGCCTCACTGGTTTAAAGTGGCGGGACATAGAAAAGAAGAGAAAGATTTGTAATTCTTAAAGTTACAGATAGCTGTTTCTCAAATTATTTTTTCTAGTAAGAACGAACGTTCTCACGCAGATATTTTATGTATTTTTAACTCCCATATTTTAACAAAATTTGAGAAAAACATAACATTTCCCAAATTTATTAAATTCTCTGCTAAAGTGTATATTCTATTAAAAAATAATTATTTAATATATTTGAAATCATTATCTATATGGTTTTCCCATTCCTATTTCATTCATACTTGCTCAACACCTCTGAGGGAAGAAAACTGCTTTTTTAATCTCAATATAACAAAATTAATTTGTGTTTATGTAATTATTTAGGAAAGAATGGTTAACATGGTTTTAAAAATTAATCCTGGACATATTTGTCTGTCTTTCTCCTTCGTTTTATCAAAATTAAGATAAACTTCTGATTCTGAACATGCTTGCTTTTCCGCTTTTTGAGAGCATTATTTCGTAGTCACCAGCCGAAGCATGGCTTTAACTGAACCCTATTGTCAAGTACAGGTTTAAATTGCCTTACACATTCTTCAAATGCTTTAAACCTACCTTTCATAGAAGTGATACCAATAAACCGGTTTTCTCCCTACTTCAATACATGGTTTTGTGTCTTCTATCCAGCCTGCCTTCCCTCGCTGAAGACAACTTAAAATTCCAAAGACATTCTTAACCTTACAATGCCGGTGTGTATAATACAATTTCCAAAAAAAAAATTAAGCTCCTTCAACTGATGATTTAATGGGTCTGTTTAAAAGAATGGCAAATTACTCACCCAATACTGGTTGCAATGCCTAGAAAGAAATAATTCCTGCATATAAAAAGTCCATGTTTTTCATTCTTCCATTAGAAAAGCATTGACTTTTTAACTAAAATTATTCATGAAATTCAGCTTTCGTTTGCTGCACAGTGAAACATTTTCATACTGCGCTGAATATAAAGATAATATATGCCACCGACAAATTTACTTTCGCAGAATTTAAACCATATAAATTGTATGAAATGACCAACAGAATATTGAAACAACACTTAATATTTAAAAACCCAAATAAAGAAGAGAAAGAAGCGCATGAGTAGACTAAAAGAAGAGTTTTTGACAATACGGTGACAGATGGTGAATTGAATGATAGAAGTGTTTTTTTTCAGTTTTAGAAAAAAAGAAAATATGGGATTTTTTTAACGAAAATTATAATAAAAATGAAGGCTACAATTTTCGGACTAAAATCCTCCAGGAACATATGGTGCCATATTAGTCCAAATTTCAGGAAAATTTTAAAATGTTCAAATGAAAAGAAAATGCTTTTTAAAATGAAAAAAAAAATTAAACGTAGTTCAATGTTTTAAATATGTTTTGTTTAAAAACGGAAATACTTTCTTTGTATTAATATTGAAATAGCGTTGGACGGATATGGAGAAGGAGTTATAATGGTCGAGGGCAACATAATGAAATTTGAAGCTCTCTTGCAATATTTTCTTCACCTTTTTTCACAAATGCAAAGCTAAGAATTGATAGCTCCGAAATATAACTATTTTAAATATATTTATGTAAGTAAATTTGTATAAATCCCTTTTGTTAGAAGTAAAAATATATTTAACCCATTTATATAGGATTTCAAATTATAGTACCTGTATCAGCCTTTCTTAAGATAACAATGGACTGAGAAAATGCTGTGCAAAGTTACCTTAAATTGTGGCCAGGCATAATTTCGTTTATTCTTTCGCAACTTTGTAAGTTCTGGGCTTTTAAATTGGTAAACATGAAATGGTTCATTCAGTGGCGTTTCGTACACCGCCGCATCGTGGGGCGGAAGAGAAGGACAGGATTCTAGAAAGCCCAAAGTTTGATTGACTCCAAGTACGTAACACCTGTGTAACACCCGGTTGGGGCCCAAAATCTGACTTTACAGGGAAGGGGGCTGATATTAAAGATTGCGCCATTGGATTTAATCATATGCCAAAAATACTTTACTTTTAGTAAAAATATAATCTCTTCCATATTTGTGATTTATAAACCTAAATCTAATACATCTCATTTGAAACAACTTTACGAATTCATTATAAAAATTTTATAGTTTCTAAGGCATACAAATGTAATATTTAAGCGAACTATTTCTTTTTCACCTTGCTGATGCAATGGCTTAAGGCGCAACACAAAACTAGCATTCTTTTCTCCACGTTTTGGTGTGCAGCTTAAGTTATTGTGTCTCATATAATTTATGACATTTAAAGTTCGGTGAGCAGGTTGGAATTCAATATACCACTGGAATGCTTTAGATACTTTTACATTTCCATCGATCAAAGGGCACAACTGAATCTTGTTGAAACCAGTAATTTTGAATTACAGGATGCAGAATAACAAGAAAGATCGCTAAAAGTTATTTTTAATGTTAAAAATAGCTGTTTCAATTTTCTTTCTACTAATGAACTTTTTTAATCGGATAATTCTAATGTGTATTTTTAACATCCATGTTTCACTAAATTTTATTCTTGTGAATTTAGTTTGAAAATTTTCTGTGTGTGGGTATGTGTGTATGTGTATGTATCGTAGGAAAATGACGAAATTAGGAATTTTCATGAAATCCCTATGGGATAGATTCAATTGAAGGAGATGTTAAAATAACGTCTCTTCAAGGTCATTTCCATGATGAAAGTAAGTGATTTTATCAAACCCTGAACTGTTTCAGTTAAATGAGAAAATGAGGAAGTCAGAATTTACATAGGCAAAATGCTGTCCGGGGGGAGACTCCTAGGAGCTGTCGAGTCTAGTACATCCGAACCATACAGGTAGTACAATCGATCCTGTAAATATCAACCCCATATCTTTAAAAAATGGCACCATAGGATTAACAAAGGTATAGATATTTTAGTGTGTAAGTAACTGAGACAGAAAAGATATTACACTTATAAAAATACCAGCCTAACTTTCTAATTATTTGCTAATTAATTTCGAATAAATAATTTGTATTTCATTGACTATTGCTGTATTACTTACTTCTATGTTTAATAACTCACCCCATTTGTTAAATAAACACTTTTAAACTCTTGACAATATTATTCCATCATTTCACTGAAACAGGTCAAGGATTTGATCAAATCCCTTACTTTTATCAGGGAAATGACCTTGAAGAGACGTCATTTTAACATCTCCCTTCAATTGATCATCTCTTTTAGGGATCTGATGAATTTCCTAATTCCATCCTTTTCCTGCAACTTATACATATTTCATTTAGACATACCTGGGGCTTTCAGAACTTATACCACACAACAAATGTTTTCTAGAATGCCTTTAACTTTAAAAACACCATGTCTCCCAGCTATTAAAAATATCACAAACATTTCTTTTTAAAAAGGTAGAATATTCTTCGCTTTAATTTAATGTAACTCAATTACATAAACATTTTTCTGTATTCAAAAGAATAATAGCAGAAAAGAAAACACATTGACTTTTTAGAGATATAAAAATGCCTTATTTTCTAGACGATAATATTTAGTTATTAAATAACTTATTATTATTTTTACAAGCTTTTATTTAACTTGCAGTGTAAAATGTTCGGATGGAATCTTGCAACTTAATTTTGAAGCTGTTGTCTTCACCCGATTGAGCTGAAATTCTGTATACTCTTTTGGTTTGAATGACAATGCATGTTTTGACCATTCCTATTCCGATATCGCAATTTGTTTAAAAGATATTAGTTAAAATAATTTGTTTGGGTGGAATCTTGCTACTCAATTTTGAAGCTGATGTCTTCAACCGATTGAGCTGAAATTTTGTATACACGTTGAGTTTGAATGACAATGCATGTTTTGACGATTTATATTCCAATATCGACGTAGTTACTGCAACGATTTTGTTCAGGTGTTAAGGCGAGCATGTTTACAATAATAAAGGTGTGGGCTGGGGGCGTAGCTCAGATGGTAGAGAGCTCGCTTAGCATACGAGAGGTACGGGGATCGATACCCCGCGCCTCCAATTATTATTTTTTTGTGTAAAATATTTTTGAAATTCGTTTGATTTGTACAACGTGATATTTTACAATGCTTCAACTCTGCATACGTACAAAGTATGTTATATTTTTACTGTTCTAGAGGGAGCACTAACAAAGGCAGATCTGTCATACTATTTCTATTTACTTTGAAACATTTTATGATATCTATTTACTCAAATCTAGTTTCCACCGTAACACTTTTAATGGACCTAGTTACTGTAACCATCTTGTTCAGGTGTTAAGGCGAGCATGTTTACAATAATAAAGGTGTGGACTGGGGCGTATCTCAGATGGTAGAGCGCTCGCTTAGCATGCTAGAGATACGGGGATCCATACCCTGCGCCTCCGATAATTATTTATTCCGGTAAAATATTCTTGAAATTCGTTTGTTTTGTACAACGTGATATTTTATAATGCTTCCACTCTGCATACTTACAAAGTATGTTATATTTTTACTATTCTAGAGGGAACACTAATAAAGGCAGATGTGTCAAACTATTTCTATTTACTTTGAAACATTCTATGATATCTATTTACTCGATTCTAGTTTCTCCCGTAACACTTTTAATTGACCTAGTTACTGTAACGATCTTGTTCAGGTGTTAAGGAGAGCATGTTTACAATAACAAAGGTGTGGATAGGGGCGTAGCTCAGATGGTAGAGCTCTCGCTTAGTATGAGAGAGGTACGGAGATAGAAACCCCATGCCTGCAATTAATATTTTTTCGTGTAAAATATTTTTGAAAATCGTTTGATTTGTTCAATGAGATATTTTACAATACTTCCACTCTGTTTTGTACAAAGTATGTTATATTTTACAAGCTTTTTTTAACTTTCAATGTAAATTGTTTGGGTGGAATCTTGCAACTCAATTTTGAAGCTGATGTTGTCAACCAATTGCGCTGAAATTTGGTATACTAGCTTAGTTTGGATGAATGTGCATGTTTTGACCATTTATATTCCAATATCGCAATTAGTTAAAATAACTAGTTGCTTGGGCTTTCTCTACTTTTATAAATTTTCCCTTTCCATCACAAAATTAGCACTTCTAATACTCTTTTTCAAAATGATTTCCACCCCTTCCTCCGCTTAGCCCGGCGTTTCTCGGGCTTTTACCGAGAGTAAAAATTAAAACTCTCTGTTTCGAATTTTTTTCGCTTCTTTTCTTTGTCAGACAGGTTTACGAACATTTTTAAATGCATAACATATTGTCATAGAAGTTCTCCTTCCCTCTTGCTATGTATCTCTCTATGAACCATACAAAGGCGCCTGACTGAAGGACATTTGGAATTGCGGCGTCCATTACTTGGGCTGCCCTTGACACTTAAACATGGAAGCCACCGTTTGAACTGGTTCCGGGTACGAGGAAACTGGACTGCAGTGGAATAGAACCAGGTCTGCTTTAGCGACAAATCCAGATTCAATCTCAGCAGTGATGACAATCGTGTTCGTGTGTGGAGGCCCGTGGTGAACACCACAATTCTGCCTTTGCCTTACAGCGACACATCGCTCCCACAGCTGCTGTGATGGTATGGGGTGCCATTGCTTGCAATACACGGTGACCCCTATCATTGATCCGTTTTTCAGACTATACCTCTCGTGAGTACGTGAACATTCACCGATTCTTAAATGGCTTGGCAGGTGGAGTGTAATACAGGTAACCAAAGCTTGTTTGAGAGTGCTGAATCTTTTACAAAGAAGAGGTAAATATGTCATTACGCCGTTTCAGAGGACAATATGAGCCGCTGCCGCAGTTTGAAAGGGGTGGGAGAATCGTCAGCATGTTGAAAGCTGGGTGAGCTGGTAAAAGCTGGGGTGCCAATGCCTGCAATACACGGTCACCCTTACCATTGATCCATGGTACCATGGCATTCTAGCGGTATGTCAATGACATCCTACTACCAAATGTGTTGCCATTTATGCAACGGCTCCCAGGAGCCATTTTTCAATAAGCCAATGCTCGACCTCACATTGCAAGGATGTTACAAGACTGTCTCCGCACTGTTACGACCCTTCCTTGGCCTCTTCGATCCCCATTTTTATCTCCAATCGAGCATATCTGGGATAATTTGGGACGGCGAGTTGGGCATCCAGGATTTTGAACGAACTAGAGGTAAGGATACAGCAAATAATGAATGAAATTTCTCAAGACATCATACAGAGCTTGTATGTTTCAATGCTCGATCGTATCGCATCGTACATTCTCTCTAGAGGGGGTTCAACAGGGTATTAAATCCTCCATTCTTTCGCCTTTTTCTCTCAAATAATTGATCCTTTTACTTCGATTTTCTTATCATTTACTTATATCAAAGTTGTCATTACGTATGTAAAATTTCGTTTCCTTTTAACGACTCCATCTAGGTGCGTTAATATTTTTGTCCGTGATTGTATAATCGCAGGAAAATATTTTTTCGTTTGTAGAATAGTATTTTCCAAATTCTGCACAAGAATTGAAAAAATTGGTTTAAAATTGCGGATTTAAAAAAATGTGTTTTTCGTTTTTAATATAGTATTATACTGAAAGCAAAAAAATGAGTTTTAATATTTTAATTAATTTTGCGTTATCCAACGTTGTTTTGATCTAACAATGTTTATCCCCTTCCCTTTATCCTCTTGTTGCGGCCCGAGAGAAATATGTATCATATTTATGTGACTTGGCGGGAAAAAAGGTTAATTACCCCTTAACTGCACTGTTCAAAATTAACCGGTAAACGACGTAGCAACAATGATGCGTTGAGGAGATTAACAGACTGAGAAACCTCTGTCCAACGATAACTAAAAAGTAAAAAAATAAATTAAAAGTAAAAACTTTTTAAAACAAGCTTTTATTTAAATGCTCTAAAAAGAATAAAATAAACTTTTCTTTCAAAACTTTTTTTGCTATCAACGTTACACAATTTATGATATAAAAGTTTTTCGCGAGATTTACCTGTGTAGATAAACAAGCAAATTAAATAACTTGATCTGATTGATTTTAATTTTTAAAGTTTTCAAACTAAGTAAATATGAGTACTTAAATCTCGCGAGAAGCTTTTCTATCATAAATTGTGTATCGACTTTATAAGTTGATACCAAAAAAGTTTTGAAAGAAAAGTTTATTTTATTCTTTTTAGAGCATTTAAATAAAAGCTTGTTTTAAAAATTTTTTACTTTTAATTTATTATTCATAACAATACCCATGCTTTTTAAAGTCTTTCATGCCATTTGAAAGCTGGAATTAGTTTTATATAGGAATTAGGAAAAATAAGCCTGATAAATATTATATTCATTAACAATTTTATTTATTCGTTTTTGTCCTCTTTGAAACAGCCTATCAATTCTTTGATTGATCGTCGTAAGGATATGTTATTTCAGCATTTTGTATTTTAGTTCCAGCAACACATTTTGTGTTTAGGCTATGTGTTATTGCTCTTTGTTTACAGTTCTATCACATAACATAGCCTAATATATCCTTTTTTGTAATCCTATAATATATTTTTTACCTTATTTCTTACAGCTTTTAATATTATTAAACAGAAAATTTTTCTAGTTTCTTTTGCACCTGCTTTAAATTTTAATAAAATTAATTTTGCAGGTTCTTTTTCAAAGAGACTCTCATTTGAATACATTTTTTCTACTGATGCCTTTTTTTAATAGTCTTTTTTTGTTTTTAACTTGGAGTTATTTATTCTTATATTGCAAAGAGATGCATTGCCAAAATTTAGCTGTTCAAAAAATGTTGCATACTTTTATTTTTGTATATCTAAATGGACTCTAATGAGATTTAAGTCAAAAATACTTATGGTAAAATTTCATCAAAATTAGGACTATTTCATATGCTACAGCTAAAACCTTTCTGACATTTGCTAACATTGTAACATTTTTTTTTCAATTCAAGGAAGCTACCTATTTATGGCTAAATGTGATTATCTTATGAATCGCATTCTTGTTGTGGTTGACAGTTCTGCATAGTAGCTGCTCAAATAATTATAAAATTTGCTAATTTATATTAATAAAAGGAATGACTTGAGAACTTGGAATAGCAGAAAGACGGAAAAGTACAAAAAAAATTGATATACAGGAAGCCATAAGTTAAGAATTAAGCCATCTTTTAAAAATCTGCTTAAGAACATTTTTTTTTTTTCAAACAATTTCAGTTTATATTTTTTCATCCAGCTTTTAAGCAAAAAGTATTAGAATTATAATTTTTATGCTATTTGAGACATCCAAGCATTTACATAAAAAAAAACGTTACTTGATCATGTATAAAATTTATCAGAATTTTTCAAAAATTACACCAAAAATCTGATCAATTTCTAAACTTTTTTAAAGAATTTTTAAATTTTATCACATTTACACGCCTTTGTATTTAAACATAGAATATTTACCGTATATGATCTGAAAATTTCACAATATTTAGAAAAATATAGTGAGAGAAGGGAGTTATAAACAGTTGGATTTTAAAAAAACTTTTAATAACACAATCAGTAAGGCCCTTTCAATGTTTTTTTTTCTAAAGGAGGAGAAAAAAACGAAACTCTCTGCAGAAATATGACGTATATTTCTTCACATGACGTCAGGGACTATTTCTAGAAATCTTTGAAGTAACTGTTAATATTTTCTATTGTATAAGTTATTTGTGTTTATAGAGGTTTATTTAAAATTATTATTCTCTCCTCAAGATCTGATATTCTTTAATTTCTTTAGTAACAATCACAGTAAAATATTTATGGTAACATTGAGGGTAAAACTCTGTATGAAAAAATTGCTTAAAGATTGCTGTTCCCTCCCCCCTTTTCCCTTTTTTATGCAATCATTTTGGTATTAGTTGAACGTGAGCCTTCCTTTGGATACTAGATAGAGAAAATAATGAGATATATAGCGAATATTCTCTCTACTGTAGAATGAAGATACAGCTGTTATTCTGAAAAAATCAAATAAAAATGAAAAATATAATATTTTTCTATTAAATCATTTATTGTAAAATATTACTCTATTCATAATATACCTTTTTTTGTACATTTTTACAGGTTGCTTTACTAGAAACTGTTATTTACTTCCTTTATCTTATTACCTTTATTTTTCATGAGTACCTTATTTTTATATTTATCCTTTTACAAATAATGTAAAAAGCCTAACATTTAATTTTTTATTTGTACATTCAGAAAATTAAATGTATATTTGAATTCGGATATCAGTTAAAACATGGCCTTCTTTAGATGACCAGGATAGAGAAATTATAATGGTCTTCAATTTATTGGAATCCCCCAGTAACAGAGATCATCAATGAAGTTTAAGTGATATTGTTGTGTTTAATCACATACACTGCTCGATTATGTCTCAATAAGCGATATCACTTTAACCCAGTGC